AGATCAACGTCAAACTTTGATTGACTGGCTGAAGGACACACTCACAAGTGCCAGCCACAACTGTGCCTTGTTATATCGCAATTCACGTGATTATAATATTACAGGGGATGATCAGGAAAACAAGTTCCAGATTTCACTCCTTTGCGACTGGCAAGGGACCAACGGTGACAGTGATCAAGTGTCACAATAACGTATTTGGAGGCTATACCGAGCAACAGTGGGAAAAGTCCCGTAAGTTCTTAAAAACTGGAGGGGGGGGGGGGGGGGGGGGGTGGACTGTGTGAATTTTGGGGTGAGGGTTTGCCACTGAGACACATGAAACCCTTATCCTAAACCAGGCCATGTGAACAGCTGCATTTTGCAACCACCCTATCTAAACTAAAACACCATTGAAAATCTATACTCTATACCTGCCAACTTTTTCCGAGTCAAAGGCGTGAGATTTTTATCCTCGGAGTACGTGCAAGGATTTTCAAGGACGACCTGACCTGAAGTTCAAAAGTTCTTGATGCCAAACACAAACCTCGCCCACAGTACTTTTCCCTTCAAAAATCGGAGAATTTGGGGAATTAGTACCATCATTTACAGTCATGGACTTTTCGTTTTCTCGGACAAAGTGATTAGTTTCTAATGAAACTGTGGGTGCTGTGGGGTCGGCGGCAAGTGAAACACTATGTTGATTATCAACTCAGAGTTGGTAAAGGTAAATTAACCGCCGTAGCGAATTTCTAAAAGCTGACGTTCTGAGCGTTAGCCCTTCGTCGAAGCAAGTGCTCCGACGAAGGGCTAACGCTCGAAATGTCAGCTTTTAGAAATTCGTTACGGCGGTTAATTTACCTTTATCTTTGATAATCAACATAGTGTTTCGTTTCTCATTGGTTTGAGTTTATATATTTTTCGAAAGTGTGTCATTAAAGGCTGTAAATCCTGTAAAAGCTCAATTTTTCAGCCAGGGGTGAGAAATTGGGCCGTAAGCGTGAGCTGGTGTGAGATTGTAGTTTTTCGACCTGCAAGTGTGAGACTCGCAGTCAATATAGGTCAATATACAGTCAAACTCCTATTAAGTGGCCTGTATGCTAAAAAAATATCTTGCGTCACATTTTTAACTAATAGTCGCAAAGTCTTGTAAGGCTCTATCAATTTCGAGTGTCTAATCCTATTCCAGACTAAATTCTTCACACCAGTGATTAGGTGAAAACCATCCGTTACAGTGGCACGTCATACCCAAGTAGCTTATATGATGTGAGTACCCTTGAAATTGAAATATCGGAAAAAAGGCAGGGGTCTGACCGAGTTAAATCCATGCAAAGTTAACTGCAGTGGCCACCCCAGGGGGGTACCTCTGGATTTAAAGTGACGGGGAGGTGGGAAGGATTTTTTGGGGTTGGAAATTCACGATTTGGGGATTTTTTTTGGGGTAAGAAATGTTGGCAAGTGTTTTTTGGGGTAGTTTTGATTTTAGTAGGAATTTTGTGGGGTAAAAAGTTCACCAGTAAAAAAAATGTTACCATATTTATTGGCACTACAGATATGTAAAGCGGTAAATGTTTAAAGGTTCAAAAATTCAGCATGGATTTTTTTTGGTTAATTTTGGTTCAGGGATTTTGGGGGTTTCACTTCAAGCCCTAGGGAATTTTTAGGTTTTATGTTCCTATTCGCACCTCCCCGTCACTTCAAATCAGGAGTACCCCCCTGGGGTGGCCACCAGCACTATAATTGTATGTCCACGTTTCTTCCTCGGATGTGCGTGATCAGTGCATGACTTGACTCTAGTTTTGTTTTTATAATATTGGTACCTCTTCGGGTGAAAATGATTGAATTTGAGCCACACTCACAAAACCAAATTTTGGTACCTTTCAGGGGTTTCTCTCCAAATTTCCAGCAATCACCTCCCCCCCCCCCCCCCCCCCCCCCCCCCCCTTCCTGGGATAGGCTCTACTATACCATCCAGCAGATGTAGCAATACTCCTAGTCACTTATGCTACAGAAACTGGATAATCTCAGGCAGTTGATGAGCCAATGAGCCACCACTAGGCTCGTAAAGACTTTACCTTATTTTACCCTTTGATCTTGATTAGGTGGATGGAGCCTACAGAAAAGCCCCAGAGTCTTTCCTGTTCAGTCTTGTCAACCCAGCGGTTTGCCACCAACAAAGATGCCTTTGATACCTGGAAAGAAGGATGTGCTATCTACTGCAGCAGTTACATGGGACCGACATTTGGTGATGGCCATGATCTTTCAATACATTGGAATCGGTCAGCGGTCTTGCCATGTGCAGATCAAACTGAACATCTCATACCAGTGTCCAGCAGGTCAAGATGCTGAACATTTTTGACAGCTTCTACCTATTCTCAAGATATTCAGTGAAATGGAAGTGTTTGAGTTTGAGAAGTAAGACGCTATATACTTCATGACTGAACTGAAAATATGGTATATCAATTTACTTTTCATTACGATTGTGATGGCAAAAATTGGAATAAAAAAGCACAAGTAATTTTTCAAAGGCTAACAAAAGTGCCCAAGTGCAATTTGTGATCTAAAATTTTCAAGTGCTTATTTTGTTAATTCCAAATTGCTCGAGAAAATCTTGTGATTAACTTGTTATTATATAGACATAAGAATAGAGCGGTTTTCAATTGAGCATCTGAAGAAATCTAGAATTGCTTTACTACGCTCTGTGATTGGTTTAAAATGTTTGCTCCACCTACTCGACCAATCAGATACAACCAAAAACCCACTTGGCACTGGTTATGTGTATTTGCTTCGAGTTCTCATTGGTTCATTGCATTGTTTGTCTCTTATGATTGGCCACGTCACTGTAATTGCTTTGATTTTGCTTTTACGACACTTGATTGAAAACCGCTTAGAATGTTTACAACCACGGGCTATACAATGATAGGCAGTGAAGCCCTTTTGTTTTCCTAGAAAATCTGTGGAAAATTTCAAAAGTATTTGCAAACGTCAATTAAATCAGGTAATCTTAGGAAATCTTTGGTAAACTTCAGAAGACTTAATTTGGGTGAACTTCGGAAGGCTTGGTGACAACTTCGGCCATCATTGTAAATCTAATTTATGACTGTCGGCAGCCGTTAGGGGTCTTTGTGTTAGTTTGTATTAACTAATCAGTTGTAATTTGCAGTCTTATTACAACTTTGCACTTGCATTACACTTTTCTGCAGTTGTGTTACATGAAAGCTGTACTCCATTTTTAGCCAATCAGAAGTGAGAAATTGTGATTATTAATTTTGGTGTCTGTTTGTTCTGTACCCCTCCTTTATAACACATCATCAAATTTTCCCAATACTGTAAGAAATGCATTATTATTGTCACAGAGAAATACATTATCACTCTGTTAGTTTCGAGCGGTTTTTCAATTGAGTGTCGTAAAACCAAAACAAGAACAATATTACAAACGTAAACAACACAACGAACCAATGAGACCTCAAAGTAAATACACGTCACCAGTGCCAAGCGCTTGCATCTGATTGGTTGAGTAGGTGATGCAAGTTTTTTTTAACCAATCATAGAGCGTAGTAAAGCAAAACCAAAGCAATTCAGCGATTACTTTAGACACTTAATGAAAACCGCTCTATTATCAACACTGCTTAACCACAGCCTCCACCATCCAGGAGTGTTCTTGTCTACGCAATGCACACCGCCTTCGAATATAATCCGTGTCTGCTGTGACAACAAGAACTCAGAACATGTTTGTTAGGCACCGAGTTTCACTTTTTGCAGATGCAAGCTATAATAGTATGACAACATTTTTGTTATCTAACATTGTGGTATTATTATCTTTTATTATATGGCAAACTGGTCCACGACGAAAAGGAACATTCTGATTGGTTCCCTGAGCGGTCCGTATTTTGCAATACGGACCGATATTTTGTGTCATACGGACCGTATTTTGCAAAATTGTTTTCTATTAAGTAGAAACATGTTTCCTCGTGTCTGGCGGACAATTTCGAGTTAAACTTTTGCGCAAAGTGGCCTGAAAAATGCAAGACTATGCTTAGCTTTGGCGCGCGCGCGTTAGCCGAGAATGGTTGCATTAATTTATCAGCAAGTTTTTTAAAAAAGCCATTATAATAAAAACTTTATTGAACTAGCTTGTTTGGTCCGTATTGGGAAATATTGGTCTCGTTCTTTTTTTGCAAGTTTATGGACCTCGCCTTCGGCTCGGTCCATAAACTTGCAAAAAAAGAACTCGACCAATATTTTCCCAATACGGACCTCACGCTAGTTCAATAACATCTATGTAGTATTGTATCAGTAGTCAACTTATTACTGTTTTGTTTAGTGTTCACTAATATTGTATATTTTAACAAATCGACAACATTTTTCATGGTCTACACTCTCATCGACCATAGCTCCTGACCATAAGCGGCAAGAAATTTGACAGTTATACTATATTGTATTAATATTGCATTATATTATAATTATTTAAAAAAGATGACTTCTAGTGACAGATGACTCAAGTTTGTTTGAGGCCCATTAGGTACCTTTTATATTGGGGCTGTTTCAGGTCACTTCACTGTATGTTAACTACGTATATACAGGGGCAGGCCTGTAGCACAGGGCCTAGTGGCTCAGCAGGCCAGCATTTAACCCTTTCACTCCCACGAGTGCTAAGTTCAAAATTGAGTAAAAAATCTTCAATTTCATTGTCAAAAACAAACAGCACCACTTGAAAATACTGCTCAATAGTTTCCATTGAATGGTCACACTCTAGGGTTTCATCCACAGACTCAAAAGGTACAACCACATTTATTGACTCAAGTTTGACTCTGGGAGTGAACACTTATGTCCAGGATTGAACGCAAAAACAAATGTTACAATTTTTTTGCGATTGTTTCGCTTCACTACAGATTTACAAATTTTACGATTTTTCTTATTGGTTTGCGAAAAATCGCAACTCAACGATTTTTTCGTTGTCCAAGTATTAATTTTTCACAGGATGCCCCTAATAGTTTGCCAGTACTGTGAAAGTAAAGTGTCTTGTCCCTGGTCAGGGCTCGAACCTAGACCACTCAATCCAGAGTCCAACGTCCTAACCATTAGGCCACCGGTGGATTGCATTATCCAACCTTTGAACAGGCTGAGACCATCCTCGGAGACCCAGGGGCAGTTAGTCGGGTGAGACAAAGTTAATTGGGCTAAATCGGTTGTTTGCGCCGATAATATACAGACTTTCTGCCGCCTAGCAAAACATTTCTTTTTATACCTAACTTCTTAGTAACGTATTTTTTAGCTTCTTATTGTAATTAGTATTGTAATTTGTTTGTCATAGTATTTGTTTTTAATCTTATTGTAATTAGTATTAGTAACTTTTTTTTAATCTTCTTAAATTGTAATATAATGTATGTTTTAGACGCAGGGCCCCTATGGATACCAGCCTAGAGCTGAGTTATGGGCGACTCTTGGGTGGGGTGGCTTAAATAAGATTTACTAACTACTGCGGCCGATTTTTGCCCGACCTAACTTCGTCCTCGCCAGAACTAACTGCC